TCCTGCTGAGGTCATCAACTTTGATTATTTTACTTTTTCGCCTCTTGGTGACCCACAGGGTAAAAAAAAAGTTACCTCTGACTCTTGGGTTTCATAATTTATTTTCTTGTTTTCCAAGTTAAACCATAAAATATGTAAGATTTTTTTCCCTTAGTATATTGAGTTACAGACCAGTTCTGCTCACCATAAAATTAGGCAAAAACAAAACACTATAGAGTTTGATATTTATACAAACGTAACTCTTTTTTTTTTTTTAAATGATCAGTATAGTTTTTTTTTTAAATGATCAGTATAGTTTTTTTTATTCAAATCTCCTATAAATCAGTATTTCTTCTTATATTTAATTCATCTTATAATACTTGTGAAACAAAATCATACATCTTTGGAAAGATGGATACACCCCAAGCGTAGTTTAGCATTAACCATTTTTTGAAAATAATGTCTCTAAGAAAGTGGTAAATGATACGTGATAGGCATGAAGGTAAAGTAACCCCCATAGGAGAACCATGCAGGTGGATTCTTCCTAAGAACAACTTCCACTGTGTTTTTAACAAACTCTTCTGATGGGGTAGACTTAGACCCTTGAGACAAAGAAGCTCTTGCTCAGTTGCTCCAATTGCTGCTTCTAAAGGCTTGAATAACTTCTATTCAGACAGTCGGTTTTTAAGTCACTTTCTTTTTAAAGTCAATAATATTTTTCCACCAATATTTACTCTTATTACATATATTAAATATTTGAAAATACCAACATACACTTTTTTTAGAGAAATAATTAATACTTTACTTGTAACATTCCAGACATACCAGAATTAAAGAGATACATATATAATTGATAATGACTTAAAGAAAATAATTAGTACTATTTATATTATTAAGATATTTTTTCATAAATTATCATTTGAGAACTTTGAATTTAAATACGTTTAACTTGGAGCAATTTAGAAAAGAGTTACTATCATATGGGAATTTTTTTTATAAAGTGCGAGCTAAACAAAACATGTTTAAAAGTCTTATATTACTTTATAGTGATAGTAGTTACCCCTAAAGGTAATTAGATATTTTAGAAATACTTATGAAGAGTTTTGACTGATAAAGACTTGTAAAGTGTTACTGCTTGAAATACCGTAGAGTGCATTTGCTAAAACATAAAAATTAATAAACGCTACATCACTAATTTTGAAAAACACATATAAACACCACAATAAATGTTACATATGGTAACATACAAAAAATATAATTATAAATATAACATATATATATATATATAAATTTATTTGACATATATAAACATACATTTTTAATACTGATTTTAAATAAAATTCATCAGGGTGTTCAAAATCGAACCAACCCAAGCGAAAAGTTGTAAGCCAATTTAAAAAATCGAAAGTCAATTGAAAACTGCAAATAGGCAGTTCTGTTCGATTTGATTTTAAAATTTTTAAAACTGCGTGGTTTAGTTTAATTTTTAGATTAGAATGTTAAATCACTCCAACAAAACTAAATCATACTTATTTATAAATTATTATTTTTTAAAAATACATAATATATGTATACAAAATTGATACATAACATAAAATGTGTTTTTATAAAATTGTAACCTATTAAAAAGGTGTTTTTTTTTTGTAAATATGCATTAATATTTAAAATATATTTTATAAAATTGTAAGTTACTAAACTAAATTTTAGAATGAAAAATTATGAATTATTTATAATAATTAAAAATATTTTTTTAGGTGATAAATTATATATAACAATATTTAATGTGATAACTAAAGATTGATTTAATTTGATTCAAAATTCATAATTCATTAAACTGAATTGCATTTAATTTTCTTATTTGATTCAAGTGACTTTTAAGACAAAAATTGAATTGAACCGCATTACCAACACCTCCTAGTAATTATAACTTATATTTTCGCTTTTTAACATTTTTGGGAATATAAATATAGGTAAAAGTGATTTTTAGTGTCAAATATTTATCATTATAAAATGTGTCACTACAAAGCAATTTTTTTTAGTAAAATTAATTTTTTATATTAATTTACACCCATGTTAAACAATTAAAACTTATTGATTATTATTAAATAAAATATTAAGTATGTTTAAATATTTAACACTTTAGAGGTTTGTATTTTATTTAATATTTTACATTTCTTTTTCAACCGAGTTGACTTTTTTTTATTTGAAATATTTAAATTATTATTCTTTCAATAATGGTTATTAGATAATTTTATTCAAAATCATCATAAAAAAATAAAATTGTTTATTTTTATTTTTAAAAATGGATAATTGTTTTTAATATAAGTAGTTTAAGCAAACACATTACACAAAAAAAATATTTTATTATTAAAGAAAAAATATAAACAAATGAGCCAATTATTTTACTCATTAGAAAATTTAAAATGAGAATTTATT